TTACGTTTTGTCAGTTTAGTGGCTAATTCGTACGAATCAGTACGAGTTCAGTCATACGAAAATTTACAATTTTAAAAAGGAGGCGTGGCTACCCAATCCCACCCCTAACCCCAACCATTATTTGGGGGTGAGCAAATCGTACAAAATTGTATGAATTAGATTGTACGAATTCATACGAATTAGCCACTCAATCAAAAAGTTACAAATTAGATCGTACCCACCCTATACCATAACAGTATAATCCAGCCTGATCTCACAAGGAAACGTGTTTTACGTTTTGTCAGTTTAGTGGCTAATTCGTACGAATCAGTACGACTTCAGTCGTACGAAAATTTACAATTTTAAAAAGGAGGCGTGGCTACCCAACCCCACCCCTAACCCCAACCATCATTGGGGATGAGCAAATCGTACAAAATTATACGAATTAGATTGGATGAATTCATACGAATTAACCACTAAATCAAAAAGTTACAAATTAGATCGTACCCACCCCATACCATAACAGTATAATCCAGCCTGATCTCACAAGGAAACGTGTTTTATGTTTTGTCAGTTTAGTGGCTAATTCGTACGAATTCGTACAAGTTCAGTCGTACGAACATTTACAATTTTAAAAAGGAGGCGTGGCTACCCAACCCCACCCTTAACCCCAACCATCATTGGGAAATGAGCAAATCATACAAAATTGTACGAATTAGAATGTACGAATTCATACGAATTAACCAGTAAATCAAAAAGTTACAAATTAGATCGTACCCACCCTATACCATAACAGTATAATCCAGCCTGACCTCACGAGGAAACGTGTTTTACGTTTTGTCAGTTTAGTGGCTAATTCGTACGAATTCATACAAGTTCAGTCGTACGAACATTTACAATTTTAAAAAGGAGGCGTGGCTACCCAGCCCCACCCCTAACCCCAACCGTCATTGGATGATGAGCAAATCATAATAAATTATACTAATTAAATCATACGAATTAATACAAATTAGCCCCTAAATCAAAAAGTCACGTATTGCCGTGAGATTACGTTGTATAATCACGACCTAAATATCCCTCAAGTGTCAATGCATCCCCAAAAAAAGAATTGCTTTTGTGTCAGGTAATCAAACAGGACTGCTAAGTATTAGTAAGTACCTCACACGCCGTACTTCCGGACAGTTATGTACACTTACGGTACACTACCCAGGTGAAAAGAAAGTGTACTTAAGTTGTACTTTTTGGGTGTAATTAGCATATTTTAATTGTACTATACTAAGTGGATATTAAATGTGCTGTTTTGAAACAACTTCAAGCATATTAATTGTTATTTAAGCTATTTAAAATATGTCGTAACATACTTAGTCGTGTTAAAATGGACATACTATAAGTATAATTAAAGTGTACTTTTAAAAGTGTACTTATTTAAAGTACATTTAAATCTGAAATACAGTTAAAGTATATTAAACCACGGCTAAAATATATTTTTAGTTCAGATAAAGTGTATTTTAGCCCAGCTGCAGTGCATTTTAAAACCAATTAAAATATAAATTCAATTGAGGTATACTTTAAGTAGTTTAAGTAAAACTAGTGAAAGTATTATTTAAGCTCAGTGGAAGTATATTTTAAGCTCAGTAGAAAAAATATTTTAAGCTTCACATTAATGTGTTATTACTATACTTACTATACATTTGCAGAGTGTTACAGGACCTACTTTATTTCAACAATAATTAAAATCCTTCAGAAGAATTGATTTTAACTATAATAAAATATGCTTTGAAGTACAATACAAACATAAATAACAGCACGGTTTCTGAACGCTTGAAAACTGTAATTTTCAACCTTTTTCAATTGACAATTAACATTAGTGTGAAGTAAGATATTTTAAAATACAGGCTAAAGCACGTGCTCATTTGCAGTATTCAAAATATGTTTCATTATTTCTTAAACTACTAAAAATAACATGCACATACTTTAAACACACTAAAATTGGCACCGTTTCACAGTGTTCTTATACAAAGTACTCATAAAACACACTCTAAAAAAGAACAAAATTAGTGTGCTCTCTGTAAATACATTAAAATGCATAAACAGTATGCTTGAGTTCCAGCATATTTTCACCGATGTACTTGTAGTATACTTTATAATAAATACATTAAAATGCATATCAACACATTTAGAATGCACTTTAAGTACTTTAATTTGTGCTAATTGTGCTTTAAATATACTAAATTTCAAGCACATTTGTAACATATTTAGGAGCACTTCTTTTTCACCTGGGTAAAAACACAGATATGTAAGCATACCAAAATATCCCTCAAGTGTCAAAACAACTAAATAAATACTTCACTAGCCTTTACAAGCTATGAATATTGTGTAACTTTCATTTTCTAAGCTTGCTTATACGTCTGAATACCTGTATTATTCTCACCCCTCTGTCCAAAAAAAGCAGTTTTATGATTTTGAAAGTGTCAGTACTCAAACAGTACTGCAAAGTATTAGCAAGTACCTTAAACACTGTACCTCTGATAGTTATACACACTTACGGTACACTGAAAACAATCAAAAGGTATATCCTATGTAAGAAAATATTATGATCGTCATGTAATCAGTTTTAATCGATGTGATTTTACAGATATGATTGTCATGTAATCAGTTTTAATCGATGTGATTTTACAGATATGATTGTCATGTAATCAGTTTTAATTGTTGTGATTTTACAGATATGATTGTCATGTAATCAGTTTTAATTGTTGTGATTTTACAGATATGATTGTGTTGTAATCAGTTTTAATTGTTGTGATTTTACAGATATGATTGTCATGTAATCAGTTTTAATCGATGTGATTTTACAGATATGATTGTCATGTAATCAGTTTTCATGTGTGTTTGATTTAAAATGCTTTTTCTCATGTAATCAGCTTTTATGTAGATTTGATTTAAGCAACGTACGGTTAGATTATATTTAGGGTTACTTGCATATGACTAATAATCAGATTTAATACACAGGTGTATGTTTGCCGTTGCTTTATGACTTTCTTGCAATAATAAAGAACCCAAAAGTACTGCGTGACTGTGTTCTGCTTTTATTAAGTGAAGGCTTTTCAATGAAAGATAGCCGATGATGTGCAGCTTTTGACCTTCAAATGTGAATTATTGTTCAAATAGTTGGCATACCCATAAAACAATTGTGTAATTTATATTACTGGGTTCTTTTCATTGTTGTCATTAAGGGATATCTTTTTATTCTCATGTACTTCAGCAGAGTAGCATTTTAAAGTAGGAACCCAATGGTAAAGTTCAAAAGTCTTAATCTGGCCTTATTTTGAACCTGTATTCTCTGTAAGTCATAGGCCTCAAACTCAATTCCTGTAGGACCGCAGCTCTGAACAGTTTTGCTCTAACTCTAATCAAACACAGCTGAGCCAAATAACCGGTGTTTAAAACTTCTAGGCTGCGTCCGAAACTGCCTACTACTCAGTAGGTACTGCATTTGAATTTAAACGTGCTAGTCGGCCGTTAGAAAATTACCTTCTTTACATTATGAATATAAGAAGTATGCGTGGAATTCGGACGTACTACATCCACCATTTTATCATGGTCACGTGACCTACCTGCGTCAGTTGTGTCGCTTCACTTCCATTCATGAATTTTCTCGCGGGGCATCATGGGATAGCACAGCATGCATGGGAAGCGCATAGATGTATACATTTGATGTCGCCTACACTGTTGTTGTCTATTGGAAGGAATGCGTCAATGGAGCTGCCATTTTGGAACAGGGTAGCGCTCCTTTGGGAAGCGCACTTAAGAATCTCGCCAGAAGTAGTCTATGAATTCGAACTCTACTCGGCTCGCATACTGATGTTAGTGTACAGAATAGTATGGAAGTATGCTATTCTGTACGTGTTTCTATTCTAGACGCAGCCCTAGACTGCAGGGGTGACCAACCCTGCTTCTGGAGTTCTACCTTCCAGCTGAGCTCAGCTCCAACCCTGATCAAACACACCTGAACCAATTAATCAGGACCTGAACAGCTCTGAATAATTAAAGGCAGGTGTGTTTGATATGGGTTGCAACTGAAATCTGCAAGACGGTAGATCTCCAGGAGCAGGGTTGGTCACCCCTGTAGAGACTATTAAGCAGGTGTGAGTTGGAGGTGGTTGTAGCTGCTACGACTATGCAGAGCTGTGGGCTTCCAGGTTTGTGATCTGGCATAAATGTAAAGAACTTTTAGTAATGATAATTATTATAAATAAATATAACTTATTAATGGATATATATTAATTTCTCTCTCTCTCTCTCTCTCTCTATATATATATATATATATATATTTTTTTTTTTTTCTCATTTCCTGAAAGCCCGACATGTCCTGAAAACCCAGCAAAAATTTTGTGATAAAACTGATTTTGTAGTTGTTGAACTTTTGTTAAAATATTATCAATCAAAGGATGACCTTTTTTTTTTTAAAGATTCCATAACTTAGAAGCATGATTTGGAATCTGTACAAATGATAATTTCTTTTGTTGGGCATTTTCTACATACTCCAATGCTAAAAGTAAAGCGTGGGCTTCAACTGTGAATATAAAGCATTCTTTAGGCAGACTGATTCCATAATGTTGTTGCCCAGTCACCATTGCTGCTGCTACGCCATTTTCCACCTTTGAACCATCTGTTAAAATAGGCGAGTGCAGAGAATACTGACTTCCAATATCCATATATTGTTGTCTGTATACATTGGGATGAGTTACTAGTTACTATACTATTGGGATGAGTGTCCTAAATCCATATTGATTACGGGCAATTCTTTAATGGAACAAGTAAAATTCCTTAAGGTTTAACACTGTGCAAGTCTGAAATTTCATTCATAATGATCTTTAAAAAGTCTTAAATTTGACTTGGTGAAACCTGTGGATGAAACTCGGTTAAACTCTGACTAAATGTTAATAAAATAAATTAATTTTCCAAATGGTGGGTGTTTCTTGAACATGTATTGGTATAAAAGACCTCAAAATAGGCATTTGAATGATTCTGATTCTTTTATTTGCATTTTACGATCATTTGAATGGAATATTTTCAACAACTGACAAAGAACCTCCTGCTGGGAAACTCACACTGTGATTTCCTCTACAGTAAGTCAATCACAAAATAAATTCAGAAAGCTGCAGTCATCTACACCAGATACTTAAATATGCATGTTACACAGCATTTCTCCATGAAGCTGTTTTTATTTTACACATAGGATTTAAATTTGCATTATCAAGATAAAGCAAGCAGAAGTAAATTGCTTGAAGTATTATATTCAGGTCTCTGATTCCAACCTCATGACAGTCCTGTGGAGAAAAAACAACTATATTAGTGGAGAACAATACACACTTTTACACAACAGTGGCTTAAAATGTGTCAAAATAATGTTGCTACAGCAAGATAAATGTGATTGCCTTTGCTACGCTTTTAGCTAGAAGATTAATATTGCTGAAATGGAAGGAAAACTTCCTCCAACCTTTAAGCAATGGCTTATGGAACTTCTACACCACCTGACCTTAGAAAAAATACGATACACTTTAGGAGGCTGTACTGATATGTTTTTTCTCACCTGGCAACCTGTTTTAGATCACGTAAAAAAGACGGACCCCTCAGTCATTTTAGAAGAGTAGAACCTTTCCTTGTTTGTTTGTTGTTGTTTTTTTTCTTTTTCTTTTCTCTTAAATTTTTTGTATTTTCTTTTTTCTCCCCTTATTTATGAGAGTAACATATGCTTTACTTATTATTACTATTTATTTGTATTTTTTCTTAATATTATTTATGTTTTTTTCTAGAACCTAAATGTATGTGCGGCAGGTTTTGTTTGTTTGTTGTGTAAAAAAAAAAAAAAATTGAAAAGCTATTTTGTAATGTATGTTTCATATCTAATATGTTCAATAAAAATACTTTTGGAAAAAAAAATAATAATAATGTTGCTACAAATCCACTACATAATTTATATAAAGCTGCAACAAGGGGACAACTTAATAAAGGGCCATGAAACCCCCTCGTTTCAGCAGGGTGTTTTCACACCTCTACCTTGGAATAAGTGAGAAAAGTGGGCGTGTCCAGCTCTGTTTAGGGGGGGAGTGTCGGAGGAACTAAAGTGGGATGGTGTGGGAGTGTCTATTTGTGCACGCGCGAGTTTCAGAGTCAAAATACTCACACACACAGACAGGAGAAAGTGATGGTGTTTAACCTACATGGAAATTCATTCATGCCTCTCGCGACAAACGAAATATTTGATTCGAGGATCTGCTGCAAGCGTGTGTTTTTCATGCAATGTTTGATACCGCACGGCGAATGAGAGAAAAAAAAACTCAGCATTTCCCGGAAACTTAGATGCACACGGCAGGTAGTGTCAGAAAGCCGCGTGTGTTATTCCAGTCACAAAATGCGGTGCTAACATTTCTGCACTCAGTGCAATAGTAACTTAATTCGATACGAACAAACTGAATAAACAAAGAGCACTGGTCGCTCACTTACCAAATCTGTAGAGACAGAACAATCACCAGCAACTAGAGCCGCATCTTTATGGAGAGAATACTACAAGCAAATCCAGATTTCAGCGTTTGCAGATGAGAACAGCTCTCAGGTAAACAATACTCCTCCTTAGACACGTAAGTTATTGTTGTCGCGCGTCGCGTACACTGTTAATCCACACGTGACTCAGAGCTCTCACAGAGAGAAAATGAAAACGAAACTTAACGGCAGCAAACTATAAAAGCAACACTTCACACTTGTTTTGCCAACACAACGTGGCGTCTCTGTGGCGTAAACACGGTGACAGTAATGAATATTAAGGAAGTTGCACAATAGAGCGCGCTGATTGGTTTGACCCAAGCCTTACTCATGCATTAATGCATCACACTGTAAGATGTAATAAGACTCACTCTGGCACAGACGCCCAGTCTGCACGCTGGAATACACGCTATTATGTCATGACCGTGACGCAGCTTCAAAAATTTGTTTCAAACCGGAAGTACGAATTTGCTTGAAATAACGCAAAAACAAGCAATTTACACTTTTTAGTGAAATATAGGTGTCCTAATAGTGTTTTAGCAGTGTGGGACACATATACGACTGTCAACAGCTCAAAAAATGTGTTTTGGTGTTTCGTGACCCTAAATGTATGTGACCCTAAATGTATGTGCGGCAGGTTTTGTTTGTTTGTTGTGTAAAAAAAAAAAAAAAAAATTGAAAAGCTATTTTGTAATGTATGTTTCATATCTAATATGTTCAATAAAAATACTTTTGGAAAAAAAAATAATAATGTTGCTACAAATCCACTACATAATTTATATAAAGCTGCAACAAGGGGACAACTTTATAACCCATAAATAAGAAAAAATAAGGGCAACTTTTCACATGTTAACGAGTTCACAGTACGAACCATTGGAGAATCTGCACTGTTTGAGCACTTCGCTGAATCCCTCGCAGAGTTTGAGGTCGCTCTGAGACTGAGCGCACTCGATGAACTGCTTCATCTCATATGAACATGGGTTCTGCTGCTGCGGATCCTGCTGGTACATGGGCTGCTGTTGCTGCTGTGGCGGGTACATGGCCTGACCCTGGTACGGCTCCTAAGAGACCATCAAGGATGAAGAAGTTTAGGTGTTTCCAAGAATTCATCACTGCCTTGTTTAAAAACTCCTACAATTATTTAGCTAGCCCAACTAGACGAAATATTGAGATAATTACTAATAGAATACAATAATAATTGTAAAAATTGTTGAGCAATGTATATTTCATTATATCTTAAATTTCTGGAAGTTTTAGGGTTGGAATTTATTATAGGTAACACTGTTGCTCAGTGGTTGGTACTGTTGCCTCACAGCAAGAAGAACACTGGTTTAAGTCCTGTCTGGGCCAGTTGGCATTTCTATGTGGAGTTTGCATGTTCTCCCCGTGTTGGCATGGGTTTCCTCTGAGTGTTCCGGTTTCCCCCACAGTCCAAAGACAAGTGCTGTAGGTGAAATTAATAAACTAAATTAGCTGTAGTGTATGTGTGTGTGAATGTATGGGTGTTTCCCAGTACTGGGTTGCAGCTGGAAGGGCATCCGCTGCGTAAAACATATGCCGGAATAGATGTCGGTTCATTCCGCTGTGGTGACCCCTGATAAATAAGGGAGTAAGCCGAAGGAAAATTAATGAATGAATTGATTATTGTATTCTTTAAAGGAAAACTGCTAAAATTACTTAGCAAGTCTAACTAGAAAAATTAAAAACTAGTTCAATAATTACTAAAAAAACTGATGTAAACTCTGTTGTAAAGTTGTCAAATTGTCTTGAATTTCTAAAGGTTTTAGTGTTCGGTTGATTTCATTATTCGTTTTTAGAATTTTTTTTATAAAATTCGCTAAAATGATTTAGCAAGTCCAACTAGACAAAAGTGTTTAAATATTTATTAAACAGATATAAATTCTTGTATATAAATAGCGGTCTTGTATATTTACATTTATTTATAAATTTCTATATTTATCTATACATTTCTTAAATTTCTAGAAGTTTTAGCCTTTAATTTAATTCATTATTGCGTTTCCTTTAATTCCTAATATGATATAGAATGTCCAACTAGACACAAATATTTTAATTACTGATAAACTGACATAAACTCAAAATTTCTAAATTGTCTTGAAATTCTATAAATATTATAACTAGATTTTCTAGAAGTTTTAGGGTTTGGTTAAATGTATTATTGTGTAATTTGAAAGAAAATTTTCTAATATTATTTAGCGAGTCCAACTAGACAAAAAATACTATAATAATTACTAATAAACAGATAAAAGTTGGCGGTTCATTCCGCTGTGGCGACCCCGGATTTATAAAGGGACTAAGCCGACAAGAAAATGAATGAATGAATGTTTGCTTATTTATTTGCTGCTAATGTTAACTATTTTTTCCTTTTGTATATAATAATATTAAACATATTACTGACCATTTAACTGTTTATTTACAATGAAACACCTCCAGGAGAACATATTTAGTAATTTGGGAATTCTTTTTGCGGGGGATCCCTTATTATGGTGGGAAATTTCCTTATTTTCACATCCCAATGTTGACAGGTATGCGAGTACTCTATTGTCAGTAGTCATTACCTATTGAGGTTAAAGTTATTTTGTCCAAAATAAAAATTTTATGTCATTCTAATGCTCTGAGACCTTCATTCATCTTCAGAACACTTTTTATAAAATAAAAATAAATGTAAAATGAATGCACCCGTGCCATAACGTTTACCTGATAGGTCACATCGGGCCTAGCAGCTTCAGAATGTCCCCCTCCGCCAAAGCCACCGGTCATGGCGTGACCTATTGTGTGTCCGACAGCAGAGCCGACAGCAACGCCTGCAGCAGTGGAGGCCATCTGAGCGAACATTCCCGGCTGACGGGGAGCAGCAGCAGCAGGAGGAGCCACCGCTGAAGGTGGAGGAGGAGCCGGAGCGGGTGCGTAAGACCGCGGAGGAGCTGCTCGAGCCATCGGTGCTGGTGAGGAGTAACTAAAAAGAAAACTGCACAATCAATTACCTGTCCTTTGACAATGACTTGGAGTAGGGTTGCACGATACTGGGGAAATGTGCCATATTGCTGTTGAGCATTGTGACAGCGATATTTCTTGTGATATAAAAACCTTCCTAGAGAAATGCTATTTTATTAACCCTTTTTTAATATAAATTTATGTAATGATATACACTCACTGGCCACTATATTAGGTACACCTGTCCAACTGCTTGTTATGCAAATTTCCAATCAGCCAATCACATGGCAGCAACTCAATGCATTTAGACATGTAGACACGGTCATGACGATCTGCTTCAGATCAAACCGAGTTTGTTGTTGTTGGTCCCAGATGGGCTGGTGTATTTCAGAAACTGCTGATCTACTAGGATTTTCACGCACAACTATCTCTAGGGTTTACAGAGAAAATATCTAGCGAGTAAAATCATATATTTTATTTGGGTCACATCCATAATGCATGTTGTTCTGAAAAATATAAACAGGTGTTTCAATATAATGTTAGCGTATACTCTCTATGCGAATTTAAGTTTTAAGTTTTTACTGCAAGTGTGACATCCATAACGCTGGAAAACAAATAACCGAAATATTGGCATTAATACAAATTTTCGAATTTAAACTTGCAGTTCTTAGAAAAGCTGAAGTTGTTAACCTGTGCTCAGATTCATTTTATATATATATATATATATATATATATATATATATATATATATATATATATATATATATATATATATAAAACTAATAAATGGAGATGTTGATTGGGTTCACTAAGATTTTAATATTGAGACTGATATTAGGCTGGAGCCACTTAAAAGCTTATTGAAAAATTATCACTATAATAGTATATGCGATATACACCTTTCACTCATTTGTAGCATTTTAAAGACTAAATGTTGATATATCGACACCTCTTATTTAGGCTTGATTATAATTAATTAATCTGAAAAATAAACTTATCTGTTTATTTGGAATGACTTTAAAACATGACTAATAAAATTATTATTTTTCTAGAGAAATTTTACATCATAAAAAAAATCGTTATCGCAATACTCAACAAGAATATCGCATACTTAACCAGTATTTTGCAGCCTTAGTTACAGAAATACAAATTTCCACATATCAGTAAACCATTTAACAGATTATTTTGTTTTTCTTGTTTAATGTTACAAAATCAAATAATACTTCAAAGTAGAGATCACTTTCTACACCTATTTGTTTTTCTGATTTAATGCTGTGAGCAATTCCATGCAAATGTCAACCTCGCCATGAAAAAAAATGTCATTTTCACCAAAATACGAAAAAGTTTTTTGTGTTTTAAAGCACTTTAGAAATACTCAGAAATATCCTTGTCAATGTTTTCAAACTATTATATTTGATTTAACAAAGTCACACAAGTGGCAATTTCACATCTGTCACAGCAACTCCATGCAAGTGTCACATCCATAACGCTGGAATAGCTTAACGGTGTAAAGAGGAAAAAAAATAACATAGATATTGGCAATAACACAAATTTTCAAATTTAAACTTGCAGTTCTAAACAACTAAAGTAGTTAACCTGTGCTCAGATTCATTTTATTTTTATATTAAAAAAACGAATAAATGGAGATGTTGATTAGGTTCATTAAGATTTTAATATTGAGATTGATATTAGCCTGGAGTCACTTAAAGCTTACTGCAAACTTAGTTAGAGAAATACAAATTTTCACATATCAGTAAACAATTTAACAGATATTTTGTTCCTGTTAACTTCCTCAGTTTTAAGGTTAAATAATCAAATAATACTTCAAAGTAGACATCATTTTCTACACCTATTTGTTTTTCTAATTAATCGCTGTGAGCAATTTCATGCAAATGTCAACCTCGCCATGAAAAAAATGACGTTTTCACCGAAATACGAAAAACCATTTCTAAGTTTGTGAGCAAGTATTTTACAGTACTTTACAAATTCTCAGAAATGTCTCTGTCAATGTTTTCAAACTATTATATTTGATTTACCAGTCACACAAGTGGCATTTTCACATCTGTCACATCCATAACGGAGAGATGTCACATCCATAACGATACTTTTTCCTCAAAAATGCAAAAATATAAAATACAATAATACCAAACATGTTTGTTTTATAGTGAGTCAACTCTAATCCTTTTTAATTAGCATTATTTCTTTTAGATTGTGCAATTTAATTCACAGAATTTATACAAAATATGTTGAAGACTATAAATTCATATACTTTTCTGGTCACATCCATAACACATCTTTATTTTCCTCATTTAAAATATAAAACATGTTTACAAATGTATATTTTTCAGCTCCCTTAACTCTGTGGTGAGTTGATTTGGATAATACAAACAGAAGTTTCAATATAATATTAACATACACTTTCTATGCGAATTTATGTTTTGAGTTTATACGTTACTGCAAATGTCACATCCATAACGCTGGAAATGCTCATATTCAAAACACAAAATTACACTGGAGAATGTTTTTATTTCATACGAAATGCTATATAAGACTTTTCAAGCAGTGAATATGTCTAATGTTATCACAATATGAAATATTTAAAATATTAAAAATACTCAAAAGTTGATGTAGATTCATCTTCAATACTCAACACGCACTTCTCCAATCACCACCACTATTCTTTATAATAATAACTAACACAACCAAAGGGGACTCAGACTTCAGAAACAATATATTGTCACTATAATGAGCCTAATGTTTATAAATGTTTGTTGAGTAAATGACACACGATTATTATAAATGATAACATGATAATACAGCACGTAGCTCATGATGCTCCTCTCTTTTACCCACCTTGGAGGACTCATCCTCGAAGTTCTGCTTCGGCTTCCTCTCGGCATGTTGATTTTTTTATATTTTAATAGTATTATTATAAGAAGAGTACTGTATTCTACAGTAACTTACTCGCTTTTTACGCTACTGACCTTCGCACTGCACTTACTATCCGGGGAACTCTTTCTAGCATCTTACATCATGCCGGCGAACTTCCGCTCATGCGCATGAGCCTTTTTTTTTCAATTACCGCCGTCTGCTGCGCAGGAGTGTGGAATTGCTCGAGTCGTCTAGTACTTTCCATTGAGTAAACAGGGGAGTTCAGAATTATACAAGTGAATTAACAACAAAAATTAATCATGTACATTAAGTATTTTTTCCAGCAGTTGGGATGTCTTAATAGCTTTAGTATAATGGCATTACAGAAGCAGGGAATCATACACATTTTTTAGATCGATGAAAAATAGTTCACAGTTTGGTACAGTCAGCATACATTTTGTTTTGTGAATGGGTTACTTTTCAAATAAAATACGTTTTTTTGTTATTTTTTCGATTTCCAAAAATCTAGAGTTGCAAGTTTTACCCTACTGAAAAAAACAGCTTAAACCAGCCTAGGCTGGTTTTAGCTGGTCGACCTGGCTGGTTTTAGAGGGGGTTTGGCCATTTCCATGCCGGTTTCCAGCCATTTCCAGCCTGGTCTTAGCTGGTCAGGCTGGTAGATGACCAGCTAAATCCAGCTTGACCAGCCTAGCCAGGCTGGGAGCCCAGCCAAAACCAGCTATAAGCCAGGCTGGTCATTTTCCAGCCTGACCAGCAAAGATCAGGCTGGGAATGACTGTAAACCAGCCTGGAAATGGCCAAAACCTCTCTAAAACCAGGCTGGTCAACCAGCTAACCAACCTAGGCTGGTTTAAGCTGGATTTTTCAGCAGGGTGTTGATAATTTTATTACACACTTCAAAAAGGAAACTTGGTTTGAAAACAATGGCAACTAAAAGGAATTGCTAAAGTGAAGGATCTGCATGAGGAGGGTATATACATGTCATACTCTGATTTAGTTCAATTCAATTCAATTCATCTTTATTTGTATAGCGCTTTTACAATGTAGATTGTGTCAAAGCAGCTTCACATAAATGGTCATAGTAACTGGAACAGTGTAGTTCAGGTTTTAGTGTTTAAGTTCAGTTCAGTTCAGTTTAGCTCAGTTCAGTGTGATTTAATAATTACAGAGAGTTCAAACACTGAAGAGCCAATTCATCGATGCGTAGCTCTACCAATCCTGAACCATGCGAGGCAGTGGCGACAGCGGAGAGGGAAAAAAAACTTCACCTGATGGGAGTGAAGAAAAAAAACCTTGAGAGAACCAGACTTAGTTGGGCACGACCATTTTAATTTCTCCGCTGGCCAAAAGTCTTGTGCAGAGCTTCATTCGCCGTGGTTGAGGCTGGAAGATGGCCTCAGCGAAGAGTTAGACACTGCATCAAGGACAAACTTAACGTGAACGACAACCCTGTATATGCTTATTTACAGTCACCACAGGATACTAGGACTGCTTCTACGTGTTACAAAATGATGCTCAATGAAAACTTAGAAGTATTAATTTGAGAATAATCTGAGGATCTAGGGATTGATATTGAGGAGAATGAGTGGCTGGACATCCTTTCCAATGTAGGTAAAAATATGAGAGAAGTTAGAGGAAAGTTCATTCAGTACAAAATAATACACACCACCCAGACTCTAGTATGGGACTAGCTGGAAATAATCAGTGTTGGAAATGCAATAAAGAAGAGGGCACTTATTTACACATGATCTGGGAATGTTGTCTAGTTTACCCATTCTAGTGTAACATTTTAAAAACAATAGAGGAGTGGCTTGGCTGTGAGTTACCTGTAGAGCCACGGCTATGCCTTCTGGGTGACAAACTGGTGATACCTAATATAGATTAAAACTCCTTTATCCTTGTCGAGATTGGATGCATTACTGCTGCTAGGGTGATACTACGTAATTAGAAGAGTCCCAGACTGGTAGAAATGAAGGAGTGGATTAATGGGATGATTGAAACTGCATCATATGAGTGTATGCTGGGGAGATTGAACAATGAGGGAGAAGTACATAGAAAATGGGATAATCTCTGGCAACAGCTAAAATTAGGATAAATGAGTAAGTACATTCAAAGGTATGGAAGGTAAATCCTGCCAATTTTAAATGGATCAAATAAACATTTGAAATTAAAAGAAAAATCAAATTAACACTTAATTTCATTTTAAAACACTGTTCGCTAAATATCTGCCAAAATTGAAAACGAAATGGAATTATTTAATTTTCATTTTCACTTTGACAACACATCGTCCCCGTCAAATTGATAAATTTAAAAAGAAGTTGCCAATTTAACATTTCAATAAAAGGAAAGCTTAAATGTACATTTTGTTTTAAATTGTGTCACTATTATAGAGTAAACATTAATAACACGCTTTGTAAAAATGGCGTTTGCATTTTATATTTCAGTTTGGATTTTTATTTTAATATTAATGTAATGTGTGTATTTATATAGCACATTTAATGTGTATGGCCATACACTCAAAGCACTTCACAATCATGAGGGGGGTCTCTCCACACCACCACCAGTGTGCTGCATCCACTTGGATGATGCGACGGCAGCCACAGGACAACGGCGCCAGTGCGCTCACCACACACCAGCTATTGGTGGAGTGGAGAGACAGTGATGGAGACAATTCGGTGGAAGGGGATGATTGGGAGACCATGATCGTAAGGGCCGATAGAGGGACTTTGGCCAGGACACCGGGGTTACACCACTGCTCTTTCACAAGAAGTGCCATGGGATTTTTAATCGACCACAGAGAGTCCGGACCTCGGTTTAACGTCTCATCCGAAAGACGGCGCCCACTGACAGTGTAGTGTCCTCTTTTCTTTTACTGGGGCATTAGGACTCACACAGACCACAGGTTGAGCGCCCCCTGCTGGCCTCACTAACACCACTTCCAACAGCAACCTAGTGTTCCCTTGTGGTCTCCCATCCAGGTACTAACCAGGCTCAGCCCTGCTTAGCTTCAGTGAGTAACCGGTCTTGGGCTGCAGGGTGATATGGCTGTAAATTGGCAGTCTTGAAGCGGAAATGCAGTGAAAATGAAATGTTAAAATTGGCAACTTCATTTTAATGATCAATTTGACAGGGACGATGTGTTGTCAAAGTGAAAATTAAATAATTTCATTCAGTTAAATGTCTGTATAAACGTATATTAAGCAGACAGCCTACTAATGCTCAAATAGACCATCAAAATAAAGTGTTACCAAGTAATTCTTCTGCTAAGATATCTGTTTTTGTTTCCCCAAGTGTGATTTCCTCCAAGTTCTTACATCTTCATGATGTTTTAGTCAACAATAAACTCAATACACACTTCTCATTAGCAATTGAACTCATTCCTTTGTAATTTTGCTCAGTATAAATGGCCATTTTACTGAGGGACATGGCTTTCACTATAAACTAAAAATCATGATGTTACAAAGCCCATGTAAATTGCAATAAACGGTACATCATTCATCGCTAGAACTTATACATCAATACATGTTTGAACTGAAATGCATTACACACGTTTATGTGTTCAAAGCTCTTATTTTCTACTGACTTCTCAGCTTTTAGACAGCTCCAAGCATGATTTTGGGACCATCAGAAAACACCAACCTGCAATGAAAGATAATTTCTAAAGACAAATCATTAGATACTGTTTTTAAATCACCGTATGAAGTTGACCTGAAAGCATCAGCCATTGTTGAATAGGCAGATTATTTCTTTATTTAAACCGGTTACATGTTATTTTCCAGAGAGCAAATATACACTGGGCAGTAACTCGCAGGCAGCTTTAGAGAATAGAAAAGAAAAGGTTGAACCGATGTAAAACATTTAAAAACATGAGTCACAATCCGCTCTCTTGCAAAAGCAAAATCACAACAAAGACCCGTTATCACTAATTTTATTGTACAATCCAAACAAAAGAACGCAATCTTTACAGGAGGATGTTTCTAAAAAGAGGTGCTGAGCACAGAGCTAACAGTCAATCATGGTAAGCAATAAAAAAAGATAACAAAACCAAAATAATGGTACAAAAGCGTTTTTAAACTCTCGTCTTCGATTAAAAACAATGAGTTCAGTCAGTTTCTCTCCCAGTTTGTGCCTCGACTCGATCAACAGAAGATAAACGCAACACGTCTGCATACACACTCGTACAAATGAAGATAATAAAGAAGCAGGAGGTGAAGTGATGACATGGCGATGGTGGAAACAGAGGACAGGACGTTGTTTAGTTTGCGTGCTGTGCAGTGGAGAAACACAGCTTGAGTGTAAATGGGTATGGACCATCTGTGGAGAAAACACACACCACAACATTAGTACCATTTTGGACTATTAAAAGTAACAAAGTTTCTAATACTGTGCACATTCTCTTTATCATACGATTAAATTGCAGTTTCTGCATAGTATCGGTCCGGCTAGTTGGTTTAATGCGTCTTTGGTCTGATTAAGCGCGTGGAATCGGTCAGCTGAAGAGAGCACTCTGATTGGTTTTTCAGCAACGAATCAGAGCGCGAGTGTGACAGTAGCAAATAAACAAATCAAGTCAAACGCTGCATCCGAAACCGCATACTTCCATACTATATAGTACGGCAAAATCAGTATGCGAGCCAAGTAGTACGTCAGAATTCATAAATTTCGAAAATCAGTATGCGAGAAGTACCCAGATGACTTACTACTTCCGGCGAGATTCCGGAGTGCGCATCCCATGCATGCTACGCTATCCCATGATGCCCCGCGAGAGAATTCATGAATGGAAGTAAAGCGACGCAACTGACGCAGGTAGGTCACGTGACCATGACAATATGGCGGATGTAGTACGTCCGAATTCCATTCATACTTTTCACATTCATACTGTATAGAACATACTTTTCTAACGGCCGAGTAGTACTTTAAATTCAAATGCAGTACCTACTGAGTAATAGGCGGTTTCGGACGCAGACAAGGTGAAACAAAAAGAGGCCGACTGTAAATTTGCAACATTCCTAAATATTTGCAAACAAATACGGATTATTAGATTATCAGAGATATTTGGAGAAGCCAATCCCTCTATGGTAAGAAGTTTTAAGCAAGCAGATT